GTTTGGGAGTATATTATGCTAGACTCACTCAGCTATATATTAAGAACCCCTAAAGCCTTATTAAACCATAGTAGTAACACTGCCGTGTAGAACTAGCTAACCCTAACCCTAAGGGTCCATGTACCCGCATAGTAGATACATTGGCCTTAATGTAGTCCCTATATAGGTACCTTAGGGCCAATGTATATACTATTTGGGTACATGGACCCTTAGGGTAAGCCCCGGTGAGGCCCGTACCTCCCAGCCCGAGGATCTTCGATACCATTGATCTCGGCCGCACACTTCCAAAGCTGCTCGCTGCGCAGGCCGCGCAGCATGGGAAGGCCTGGACCACCCTTGCTGTCAAGGTTCAGAGTTTAGGGCTTGAAACCATACTTTCAAGATTCAGAGTTTAGAGGTTTAAAACAGACTTAAAAGGTTCAGAGTTTAGAGCTTTAAACCCGACTGAAGCTGTTGGATGGCCAGCAAACTCTGCGATTCGTAAGCCTATCGAGCCACAAATGCTATCCTTGTTGCGTTTTGTTGATCTTGAACGAGACGGTGCGAGAAGTTACCCAAGCTTTGAGTGAGGGAGACGACCTTCATCTCGAATGAGATGCCCACTATAGTATGAGGAGTACCCAGACCAGCTTAAATCATAGTAGGATCCAAAACTAAAAATTACGAACTGAGGTATATTCGATACTTCAGGGATATTGGAAGTTCGGTGTATTCCTGAACTAAGAGACAGTGTTCGAAGCTGAGAGGTGGTGGCGATCTTCATCAATGGCCGCTTTGCCCAATATGGTTTTTACAAGCACTCTGGCCCTCTGAGGTTTGATGCCGCCACGAATTGCGTGTTAGGGCTTCGGTGATTCGGGGTTGTTTGGATCAGTTGGTTTCAGGGTTCTTGGCTCTGTGCGTCGGGGGTTCAGTTGCTTTGGGGTTGGGGCTTTGGCAGAGTCGTGTAAGACTTACGAGCCCAGAGGGAAGTTGTTCATGTTTGTGTTTTGAGCTACTGTATGTGGACCCCGCAGGCCGTACTATTTTGAGCGTGAGCAGATCACTATGCAAACTGCTGCTAGAACCTGCAGTGGCCTGGTGAGGGCGCTTGTTGCAGATACCAGACGCAGGGCAGGGCAATCCTGCAAATTAGGAGCCCGTTTGACGTGCTTATAGCAAGAGTGACGTCTAGTCTTTTAATTCGCCCTACAGGGTCCATGCACCCCCATACATACTTCGGTCTTGCAAGGGGTTGCTATGTATTCCTTATTACAACTTGGAGCTACGAGGTAGACAAAACAAAAGATACTTGGACCCTGGAATGACTATAGACAAGTGTATAGAAAAGTACATATTTAATGGCCTATACAACTCTGAAGCCCTAAACCCTAAACCCTACATCCAAGTAGCTTGAAGGACGCCCTTTCCAGGAGATGTTGCGAAGCTCTACGCCGAGATGGCGCGCAAGGACGGCTCGTCCTACGAGGCTCCGGCTTCTAAAGCTTGGGGGGTAATTGGGGGTTTACTGGGTGTAGTGTTTAGGGTTTAGGGTTTAGGGTTATGGGGGTTTACAGGATGTAGGGTGTAGGGTCTTGTGGCTGTGGGTTGTCTAGGGCTCGTATTTATGTTGGGATGTTGGTGGCTTCGCGTTGATGTATGAGGCCTTCGATATGAGGTCTACGAGCACCCCGAAGACCTTGAATCTTCTTCAAAACTTCACTAACTTAATCCAAAGCGTAAACCTTGAAGCCTTTGACCCTTCTGGGTCTAAGGTTCCACCACTGTCGGCGTAGGTTCTCGGTGAAAAGCAGGAGGTTTAGGAATGCAGTGGTTTAGGACTTAGGATCTGTGCGTTTAGTCTTCAGGCGGCACTATGGCGGGAGGGTGGGCAACCGTTCGGGGGTCTGTGATCGTTTGTAGGGCGGTTCAGGTTGGACTTGAAGGCTTTACATTTGGCGTACATGTTGTTTAAGGTTCACTTTAAATTCTCGTTTGTGGGACTGATTCATGGCTCCGGGGTTCTGGAACCTTAGTATGCTGTACTTTCGGAGGGCTAGGTTTGGAGTATGGGTGCCAAGTTAGGGGGGAGTCCTTGTAATGAGGGTCGATATTGAGGTTTTTGATTCTCTTTTCTCTGAAACCACAAACGGTCTTTCCGCGGGAAACTGGAATGGCACACCTCGTTCCTGTTTGGCTCCTCTTCCTCCTCCGCCTCCGCCTCCGCCTCCTCCTCTCGCCTTGTAACTCCCATTGAAGTTTCGCACGGAAATTTGCAAGAAACGCTTGATTTCCAAACGAAACCCCAAGCAGAATACATTCATGACACATTTAAACATCCGGCTTGGACAGAAATTTGGAACCATCGATGCTGTCATGAAAATTCACATTTTCATGGTTTTCTTTATGCTGCGTGTGTTTCCACTTACATGCCTGCTACACGTTTAATCAACATGCCAACCATTCTCCTACACATATTTATTCACCCTGATTTCGGATTGTGAGGTGTTTTGAGGAAAGCAAGCCCCAGGATCCAGACTCCGAGGATCCAACCCTCAAAACGATCTAGAGGGACTATGGTGCTATAATATGCAGCCCCTCATTTATGCTGGCTCCTTTTGCCCACCAAACCCTATTCTTACTGATTACGATGACCCTTCACACTCAAACATGTGATGTTGCCCCAACGAGGTTCCTCTATACCTGTGAAGTTGGCCGCATAGTTTACGCATCAGAGCCAAAATCAACAATTCAAACGCAGGGTTTCTTGGAGGTTCATTATGGAAGGACATACGGCTTTAGATAGGGTCCATGTTATTGGTAGTATTGACGCCGGCTCACATGAAACTGGGCTGGGGGTAAACCGAAGCCAGCAAAGCTTTGCCCAACATTGGACTATACTGTGGCAGATGTATCCTTAAATTCGAAAGCTTAGCTCGTAAGCCCTGTGGCATCCTCGGGCCTCAAAAACATTAAACACGTAAGAGGACTAAGGTATAACAGACATACTTGTAACGTGCTCATGTTAGGTCACCCGAATTTTAGGGCCCCGTCTAGAAGCCTATGAAACCGAGGTCTACGAGGCCCATTCTGCGAACAGCAAGAAGGCCGGATGAGTTCGGATGACAAGCTCAATTTCACGCCCCGTGTGTGTATTTGATGTATGTTATAGTTTAGAGGTGCTGGGCTCCGGATTAATGTAAGGCTCGGGGCCTTGCAACTTCATGGGTTGGGAGTTGGGATTTAGGTCTTAGAGTCGTGGGTATCAGAACCTGAACAACAAGCCTCCATGTGGGATTCCTCCACTTTCACAAGCCCCCATTTGTAGTGAACCAGTTCTGGTGCACGAAGGCCAGGGCCCGGGCTTTTATTTCCCATCCCCTAAGCCGTTTAGAAGTTTAGGGTTTAGGTTTTAGGGTTTAGGGAACCATAAAGCCTTATGCAAGATTTCAAATCCTGTCTTGAGGGGCAAGCAAGGGAGCGTGCCGAGAAGGGTTCTCGAATCTTGAACCCTTAACCCGTCTGAACCCTAACCCCCCCCCCAACTCTGACCACTTAGCCCTAACCGCACGATCCTGAAACCTAACCCCAAATGTGTACGTAGACCTCAGTCTTTCGGGTTCTTTCGTGAGGCTCTGTTCGAGTTAGCATAAGAATCTTAGTAGCTTGGCCAGGGCCAAGACGAGGCTTCAATGCATCGCAAGTCTTCCATGGGGCTTTAGGGGCAGGCTATGATTTCAGATTTCGTTTAGCCCAGCTGAACCTACATGTGTAAAGTCTGCTTAAACGTGGTTCTTGTCCCGCAACATGGGGACTGCTGGGCTAGGGGTTTTGCCGAGCCATCATCACCACAGTACCAACTCGATGAAACCCGATACTCTGTAAATTCTAAAGTAGAAGCCAGAACTTTGGAACATCGTTTTCCTGGCCAGCTTTCGCGTCGCTTACAGATATAGTCCAAACTTTAGGCTATGCACGTCAAAAGCTTCTGAAACCCCTGCGCCGAGACCCTTATAGCACGAACCCCATTTCCCCGGGTTAATGGGGCTTCCCCAAATCTTTGGGACGCTAGGGTTTAGGGTTTAGGGAGGTGAGGAAGAAGGTGGTGCAAAGTTTCGCCGCCGCTTCAAGCGGAGTCCTCTTCACGGCAGGCCGGTGACATCTTGCGGCTGTAGGGCTCCGGGCTTTAGGGTTCTCAGGGCTTTACTCCAACATCGCCAGGTGGCTTCGGTGAGTTATGACAGCTCGGATATATAAAGAATCTCAACACACACACACACGCATAAATAAAAAAGTATGTGTATAGATAGATAGATAGATAGATAGATAGATAGATACGTGTACCTATATATTTAAGGACGTTTTGATTGATTTAGTAGGGCTTCTTCACGAGGTTATAGGGTGTTACAAGGACGTAGGGCTTTTGTATGCAAGCGTTTTTTTGGGGGGGTTGGCCGTCTCGCAATCAAAAGTGTTGTCGGGAGGTTTTTCCATATGATCCTAAGTGACCTCCCCTAAACCCTAAACCCTAGGGACCCTGGAAACCCGAAACTTAAACGCGAAAACCAAAACTTCATCCCCAAGTCATTGTGTGAGGTATCCGTTTAGCAGGCCCAATATGGTTCAGCGTATATTCCCTAGCCAAGGGTATCACTATTGATTGAACGTAAGTATTCCTTGATTGAATGTTACCCCTGTGGTCACGTTTATGCAGCAGTACTCCTTGATTAAGGGGCATCCCCCGCTGTATATATATATATATATTAATTATATATGCCGGCCGCACAGGTTGGTGACGTTTGGTGTTCATCTTGCAAGTCCTCAGCACTAAACCTCGGAACACTCAAGCTTTGCGTGGGAAAGCGCGTGTTGCGTTTAGTGCCAACTCTACTTACCTACAGCTCTCCGGCAACAGGCTCTCGGGTTCAGCTGTCGGCATTTGATAGGCAAATGGCCTTGCAAAAGTGTCCACATGAACCCTCGGCCCCTACTATCCTGCATAAGAATGCCAAGCTTGTCAGGGCTCTCTGCTGCCACCCTTCCATCAGAAGGACATCTTGGCAGCATATGCTTACGAAGGAATACATACATACATACATACATACATACATACATACATACATACATGTGTGTGTATACACGCGTATGTGTTCGTACTCAGGCATATCCTGCGAGCTGTGAGCTTTGAAGCTGTTGCTTTCGTCCGCCTCAGCGTTCAGGTTCAGGGTTTAGGGTACCCAACCCCAAAGTCTTGTGAAGAATGGTTTTCCCATGTCCCACCCGCGGTTTGGTACGCAATTTTAGAGCTGTGCACTGGAGGAGTTTCAGCGATCATCATGATTGGGTTGCCCGCTTCCGCCAAAGACTATGGTCAGATTGTGGACTATATTTCGCGATCTGCAACTCGGAAGCAAGATGCATGGCAGCTGCATTCAATGTACACAACATATCTCAATCATGTTCTCCCTGTTGCTTTTTGTGGCCCTTGCCAGACGAGCCCTGTGCCCGAAGTGCAAGTTGCGGAGAATAGCTGTAGATTCTTACAGGGGCCCCTTGGCAACTTTATTGCCCTAGCCATCTATGTTCCAGAGTTTGGAAGCAGGGGGCCAAGATTGTAGGTCTGTCGGTGTCTCAACCTTTCGAATGTTAAATCCGGAACGCTTAATTAACCGTCGTGGCCGAGGGGTCCACCACAACAGCTTCGCTGCTGCTGTCGGCTTTTGAAGAGAAGGCCCTAGGCAGCTGGGCACGCAGAACATTATCCTCGGGTTGAAGGTTTAAGGTGTTCAGTACATCATCGTTTGTGAATACTAGTGTCTAATTTTGATTGTACAAAGATCAAGCGTTTACAGTTGTGTTATGTTGTGCAAGTTTTTCGCACAGATTGTCGAACATTTGTATAGCCCGTGATGTCTTTTTTGTTACAGACGGATGGATTTTGTTGTTCCTGGAGTGATCTCCATCCGGATCGGTGTGTATCAGGAAACATTCGCCGCGAAGCAACACGAGCATCAAGCTCGAAATGTTGTTATTGAAGGTCTAGGCCCTACATGGTCCTACACGCGCACATTCTTGACTCGGAATCTGAAATCAGCCCAACACACCCCCATAATCCTAAGCCCCGTAACCCTGAATCCTAGACTTTTCCATTTATCCTCAGGTGCTTTGGCCACCGACGCATTGGTTGCCTCGACCTCCCCTGCAGAGGTCCCAGAGGCCAGTCGAATGCCGTGTTGCACAAGCGTGTGTTTGAATTTTTCGGCTTCGGTTTTCCGGCTTCGGTGTCGGGGCTTTGGGGTTTAAGGTTAGGGTTTTGCGAGGTTCTAAGGTTGCAGCATGTTGTAATGCTAGTAGTCGAAGTCGTAGCCACAGCCTTTGTAGTCGTAGTAGTCATCGTTGTCGCCGTAGTAGGAGTAGTAGCAGTAGCAGTACGTAGGACCAGGAGCAGGAGCAGGAGTAGGAGTAGCCGTAGTGGTCGTAGTCGTCGTCGTAGAGGTATAGTGGTATGAGTAGTAGTATAGATGTTGATCGTAGATAGTAGGTAGTAGATAGCAGCCGCCGTAGCTGCGTGAGCAGCAGTAGCATCAATGCAATCGTCAGTTTGCAAGCACCAAAAGCATTGCAGCATGCCAGGACGATCCTGGCATTCTGGAGGAGCTCAATGACAAGCTACAGGCGAAGGCATACTTCTCATGGCTGAGGCGCAAAGGGTCGGTAGAGTCGGGGTTGGTGGGTTGCTGGGGTCGTGTGCGCGTGTGTGCCGTGATGTCCGTGTGTGTTTTGCCTTTATTCGGTCGGATGAAAACTACGTAGTCGTGTGCGGCTTGCCTCAATGCAGTCATCTCTAAAATGCATACAGTGTCCATGTGACTTAGCCCATGCTCGTTGGTCTGCAGTTCTTTACACTGCGCAGCGGTGTTCGCGCGGTGTAGATGCCACACTTTGAGGATGCCGAGTAGTACGGTATAATCACCTACCTATAGTTCAACTGTAGTAGTCTGTTGCGATAGGAGCCCATCTTACAGCTCCTGCATGCCGCCCATGCATAAAACCCTAAACCCCAAACCCTAAACCCTAAACCGAAAGCCTCAGCGACTAGAGTTTTCCCCGTGGCTCAGAGCGTTCTCTTCTGCTTCTTCGTCTTTACGTCTTGGCTACAACGGCGCCCACAAACGACGGCGAACGCGGCGGACAACCCGGACCACCACTAAATACCAGTTTGACGACCGCGACTACAACCCTGCACGTTGCAAGGCCGTGGAAGTTCCTTCTTCTCGCCCTTTACCCAAAGGCCCCTAAGTACTTCCTTTGTTATGGTGTATATTTAGAATCCTATAAGGTAGTCCCAAAAAGGAACTACTTAGGGGACTATGGGTACATGAAGCGCCTGACACTTCACCCAAACATGGCTTCGTACTGTTTTACCCGACCCCATATCCAGGCACTACGCGCTGAACCCGCTGCTACAAGATAAGCTCCGGGCGGTGCAGGCACCTCGAACCGAGAGATTACGAGGGTTCCTTAAGGCAGTGGTTTCAGGATTCTGCACGGAATGTAGAGCGATACCTTGCATAATTTACGGAAAATGTTGAAGATGCCTTGATACGACGGTTGAGGCATCCTTCACTAGGCATAGGTTTTGAGTATGTGAGTGTAGGATTGTTACGACTCACTCCTTCATTATGGAGCCGGGTTTGGTCTTAGCATTTGCGGCATGAGTTCTGCCAGCTCCACAATACAAAGACCACCTCGGGAAGTTTACGATTGAACATGCACTCGAGCACTTTTGCAAGCAATGTAAGCACAACCATGAAAGCCCGACTGTGAGATTTGTCGGTATCCTGGAAGCAGGAAGCTTTAGTAAGAGAGAATGCACGGTATGATAGGATCTGGGTGATACTCCAGTATACCCATGGAGGGACTACAGGTGACATTAACATTACACCCCGCGCATTTCCAGAGACATAGATCCTCCGGCTTCAAGACTCCAGGCAACCTAACTCCAGATAACCGTGTAAATCCATCATCATCTTCACGTTGTCGCCATCAGCACTGCCACCACGGCTAGGCACATCATTGCTATCCCTAAATCTGCGGGTTCTCATTCTAGCCGCAACCCCGAGAACCCAACACCCCTTCATTGAGGATTCGTCCTCAACTCGCAGCAAGAAGCCTCTACCCGTCGCGGCATAGTCTTTATTCTATAGTTCCTTATCCCGATCATCGCCAAGCCCCAAACCCATGAAACCCGATATAGTCTACACCACTAGGTCCCTGAGTGGTACCCCTTTTGCCCTTTTTATTTTAGGGCCCCCTTACCCAAGACCGAATATTAGGAAAAAGGATATCCTTACGCCTTACTATAAAGAGGCTACTCAGGAACCAAGACCAAGTTCTTCTGGTGACTGCAGGAGGCCAGTCGCTTCGCCGAAGCCATCGGCGCCCTCAGCGAAGGACGACCTCCAGCCCTTGCGCCGCGCATGCTGGCAGACATGGGTACCTCGGCTTTGACGGTTGAGGGTTTGGGGTTTAGGGTTTATAGGGTCTATAGGGTTTATAGGAGGGTTCAGGGTTTATAGGGTTTGTAGGGTTCAGGGCTTATAGGGTTTATAGGGTTTATAGGGTTTATTAGGGGTTAGAGGGTTTAGGGCTTACAGGGTTTATAGGGCTTAGGGTTGAAAGGGTTTAGGGTTTAGGGTTTACAGGGTTTATACGGCTTAGGGCTTGTAGGGTTTTATAGGGTTTATACGGTTTAGGGTTTAGGGTCTATAGGGTTTAGGGAGTCTTTATTTAGGGTCTATACAAGTTAGGGTCCCTCACACTGACCAACTCTACAGCCGCTGAGGTATCGAGGGGATCGCTGATGATGCGCTCAACGTCGCTGAAACTTGAGTGGGCGCATGTAGGAGGGGCCTCAGCGTCTCGAGTTTAGGGACGGCAAACCCCGCAAGCAAGAGAAATCTTACAGGACCCTTCCAAAAACGCACTGGGTATGTATTTGGGGTCTCATCGAGGAGGGTCTACGTATTCGAGGCCGCCCACAACGATGATGAGACCGTCCTGACCATAGACTCGGATGCGAAAGACTTGTTTTATTCGTGGCTTGGGCTGTCAGGCTGGAGTTTGATGCCGGCGAGTAAGACTCACAAGGTCGCTTCAGCCGCCGACTGCTTTTGATAATTTACCCGGGTCAACCCGTCAACACTTAGTACAGTTGTAAAAATTGAGTATCAACGTCAACAGTCTGTAAGACCATCCCTTCCTCCTTCCTATACCTGTATAGGCCCCTAAGTAGTTCCTTTTTGTGGTTTATTTTTGAATTCTATAAGGTAACCCCAAAAAGGAACTACTTAGGGGCCTATATCTCTATGTGATTCTATGCAGAGATCCCGAAACTCGGGCGCCCGCCTTCGATTTCTTCGCGACCGCTGCCGCAGCGGATGTTGAAAAATGCTGCAGGAGATGGCTAGGGTTTAGTTAGTTGAAGCAAAACTTCAACTCGGGTATGAACAACCTACGACGAGCTTTATAATCAGGGTAGCTACAGGGATGAACACATGGACACAAGAACCGACCAACCGTGCTCTTTGTAACAATCCCATGAGGGAAGACTTCGGCCATCCTGTCCAAATATGATTTTATATAGGTAGATAGATAGATAGATACAAGATATTATATATATACACACACACACACAAGCCACCACTGCCGAGAGGTTGCCTTGCATGCTTGCTACGGCTGCAAGCATCCTGTCCAGATGTCGTAAGTAGCCGGTGCTGCGAGGTGCAGGCCGCGGTTTACATGGTTTAATTAGGCTTTATGTTTTCGGGGTTTAGAGTTTGTTGCACCGAGTTTTCTAATTGTGTTATGCAGGGTTCCACAGGACTCAGGTCCCAGCGACGTTTCCCGCAACTCTCTTGCTCCCAGCAAGTGTTGCTATTGATAAACCCGTAAACCCTAAACCCCTACCCTTAGCATCAAAATAGCCCAAAAGCCTCATATAATAGGGTCTTTGGGCCCAAAAGCCTTAAAATATGAGTCCTTCGATGCTAAGGGCTAGAGCCCGTATGCAAACCTCAGTCCGAGCTCTGGCCTAAGGCGGGGCCTTACTTTGGTGTGCACGATCTTCGAGCCCGAAAATCCGCCGGGGGCCGATCTTGGCCTCACTGGGGATTAGGGTTTAGGGATTTAGGACTTAGGGGTTTAG